ATTCTTCTTTATGGCCGATACTGTACAGACCTGTCCGCAACTGAAATTCACGTGGGTTGTCCTGCGTTCCGTGATCCAGCTAAACCCTACCGTCCCGTCATTGTGTACACGTACATACAATTCCATGGACACTGAATACGTATGTTACGTGCTGATAAAACAGCAACGCAAATGTATGTGGAAGGCTGTTCTGAGTGTATGTAGATTTGCAATCCACCCCAGTTTGTTTGAGATTTTAGGTTTCTGCGGCAATAAAAATTTCAGTCGTTGTTATCTCGCTTGTAGATGGTTATCAGCGATTCTGTATTGAATTAATTCTAGAATTCTACAGCTTCACCAGTCGTTCTATAACGCTCCTTGTCCACCATTCGTCTAAAATGTTTCACAAATCTGGTTGCAGTGACTGCTGTATTTAAATGCACTTTGGGAAAGACACCGTTTCTAACACACCCGCTGTTATTCTATTATTAACATGTAGATGTCTCTCGGAGCCATTTTATCTACACAAGAAGGGTGCATAATTTTGTGTTAAGATGTTAATCAGATATGAGCTTCATTTAAATTTCTCGTCATTACAAACTTAAAACAAGTTATAATAAGTTATACTTCATCCCTTTACCTTCGCCGTAAGTTAAATTGCCATCAGTCCTACGAGCAAAAAAATACAGTTCTTCTATTTGTCACCAATATAATAAATATACCTATCTTATTATAGGTAATTAAATTATTACTTTACTGACAATTGCTGATAAATTCAGTATCGATACTGTTAATGCCTTCCATTGATAACGATTCTGAGTTAATTCAGTTTGCATCAAATTTTGATAACCTTTTCCCAAAGATCGCTTTCAATATTATACACCGAATCCTGTTTGCTCCTCTGAGTAACATCTATCTTAGAGGCTTAGCACAAAGTTCTGTTATTTATTACTTGATTTTTTCTATGGCTAAACTGTATAATTCACGAAACACCCTGTACTTCATTTTTATAAGCAGTTAAGTTATTAATTATATTATTTTTGGAGTACTGTTTGTTAGTTTCCGCCAAATAAATAATTCATTGCTCGAAAACTGTTTTGTAAAGTTAGCTGCTTTACAAAATATTATTGAACGTGACAGAGAACACTGATGTGGTTTTAGTTAAAACCGTTGTCATCGGCTTCGTTGACTGTTGACCTTCTCCCAATTCCCTAAACATCGGTTGTATTTTTTTGCTATTATTTAATTACTCTTTGTCCTGGAATTTCTGTTGTGGAACAAAATAAAATGATGAATACAGCCATCAATCGCAACACAACTGTTTCCAGACCGAGATTATCTAGAAACTATGCAATAGTGAAACACTGCGTTGCGAAGTACGGTGTGAATAATAGCGA